ATTTTGAGGAAGTGTCATGGGTGACAATCACTAAATGACTAAATGCAGACAGTTGTGTAGTTCGTTATCTCCTTGGCTTCTGATGGGAGGGCGCTACTGCCGAGAAGGCCCTCCAACATTTCTCCAATGAAAATAAGGACGTTCTAAGGAAAAGTGGGACATTCCAGGATCAAATCAGAAACTGGGATGGCTTCAGTAAATCCAGAACTATCCCTGGAAAATGGGGACACTTGGAGGGTCCGCAATCCTAAATTTGTCTCCTCAGAAGCAAGTGCCATTCAGTTCAATGGGCTTGGCTCCCAAATAGGTGTGCGGTCTAAATAAGTCAGTGGTTCCCAATTAACTAATTACTGAGGACCCCCTATTTTCCAAAAGCCAAGCCATGGACTCCCTACTTTTGAAAACTTTGATAACTCTATGGTAGTTACCTCTGCAAAGCAATTTTTTGAACAAAATGTGGGGTAGCCCCTAATAAGCAAAGGATTTTAGGTATACTAAAAAAACAGACCAGGGCTGAGCGATGTCTGGTTTTCAACATCATGATGTATCAGCAGCTAAGCATTGTGATATTCTGATATATCACAATGTCTGAAATTGGAGATCAGGCATGGGGATGAGGGAAGGAGAAGACACGGAGATCAGGGGGGTGGGGGAAGGAGAAGAAGTGCAGTCACCTCCACCCCACTGTTTGAGTGGGAGGGGATGGGGGGTACATCCATCAGCAGGGCTGCCAGTGGTGGCAGCCAGCAAAGATACACATCCACTGTGGCTGCTGCTGCTTTCCTGCTGACTGAGAAAAGCAGCTTTGCTTTGGTGCCGGGGGACGGTATTGTCACGGTGCCTTCAAGTGAAGGTGATCAGCTGCCCTGTTCTCCATCAGCGTGAGAGGAAGGCAGGACCTCACAATCGGCTGCCCTGTTTTCCCTCAGCGTGAGGGAAGGTCACTTAGATCAGCAGTGTTATTGGCTGAGATCATTGTGCGATATTGGCAGTGCCTTGAAATTGGCTGCCTTGCTCTTCTTCGCGGGAGGAGCGATATATTGCTGCGTATTGCCAGGCTATCACGGTGTGCTTTCAAAACTGATTTTGGCCAATATATTGTAAAATACAAGGACAGGAAGAAATATTATGGGCACACAGGAAGGAGAGAGTTTGAATGCTTCATCTGTAGGTGCAGAAATTATTCAGTGTGTCAATACGAATGGAAGTCATTAAAATTGCAGCTGCGATATAAGGGATTGGTATCTAGACTGGAGCGTAATTGAAATTTATAAGACTTTGGAACGCAGAAACAAAGGAAAGCATCAGACCATTAATTCTAGCACACGGGGGGCCACCTAAATTATATAATTTGGCATCTCAATGATTGGTATTATTAATTTTATTATAATTTGGCATTGTTATAACGAGGCTGTTACTGGACTCGATTGTTGTAATTGAAAACTAACAAAATTATTATGAAAAAAGAAAATAAAAATAGCACAGTACTAAAACAGACCATAAATTTTGTGATATTACCATGGAAAAATGACCAAAAATTGTTGGGAGGCAGAAAGGGATGGGGCCGCGGACCCCCTGGGTGCATCCCATGGAACCCCAGGAGTCCCCAGGTCCCTAATTGGGAACGACAGCTATAAGCTTTCCTGACATTTTAATCTTGCTCACAGGGTTTCTGTAATATACTGTTATGTAGACCCACCACGCGGGTGGCGCTGTGGGTTAAACCACAGAGCCTAGGACTTGCCGATCAGAAGGTTGGCGGTTCGAACCTCTGCAACGGGGTGAGCTCCTGTAGCTCAGTCCCTGCTCCTGCCAACCTAGCAGTTCGAAAGCACGTCAAAGTGCAAGTAAATAAATAGGTACCACTCCAGCAGGAAGGTAAACGGTGTTTCTGTGTGCTGCACTGGTTCACCAGAATCAGCTTAGTCATGCTGGCCACATGACCCGGAAGCTGTATGCTGGCTCCCTTGGCCAATAAAGTGAGATGAGCACCACAACCCCAGAGTCGGTCACGACTGGACCTAATGGTCAGGTGTCCCTTTACCTTTACCTAGACCTAGCACTGTAGTCCATTGGGCTTCAGATGAGTAGGTGCATGAGTGGAAGTCAATTTTGCAGCAGCATCCAAAACGAAAGGCATTTCTTTGTGAATTGTTGATTGCCGCAAGACAGCTTGAAAAGTATGGCAGTCTCCTCTTGGAAGGTGAAAAATTAACCACACTGCTAATAACCCCACCTCACCCCAAGCACTTAAAGAAGCACTGCTTTGGTGTGGTATTCAATCCCCTATAAAATCTGAATTCGTATACTGTATTTGAGATGCAGCTTTGTGTGCATGTTTTGTAACGCCTTTGTGCCTGGATAGTTTTAATGGAGTTGAATTTACCGATAGTTTAAATCTGCTGATAGTAAATAGTTAAGTGAGGCCGGTTGCAACTCCAGACGATGCTCATAACAAACACTTTCCCCCTGCTGCATCTCCCAGTGTTTACTTGTAATCTAACGGATGCTTCTGCCTCTGCTGCTATACTTTGGTCTGTGTCTGTTTGCACCTTGTCTGTAACATAACATGCTGCTATCATTTCCAGGGTTCACAGGACCATGTCAGCACTTTTCAGTCAAAGGTCAGCCGAGCTAGCAATGAAGGGTGATTAAACCGGACAATGGCATTCTCCTATATACAAAGTCGCATCTGAGCAGCAGATTTAATATATTTTTAAAGCACTGGTCTGTGCAAAGTTCAGCAGGCTGGTCACTGCAGCCCTATCAAATCATAAGGGCGAGTAGCTTTTGGTCGGATAAATGCCATTTTTTCGTGTCCTCCCAGGAGGGTCTGATTTATGTGATGCTTTGTTCTTTATCTACTTGTGCGTATCCAGCAGTGCCATCCCAAATGTCTGCACATTTTGCTATCCTCCCTTTCATCTTTCCGGTTTTCTGTGATCACTTCATCTTTCCTTGATGTTATTATCCATTCACCCTGGAACCCCATTGAAGCCACAAATTTCTTACTGGCTCAGCAGACTGTTGCAACACATCTATCAATGGGCAAGAAATGGGTTAGGGTTAGGGAACAGGGTTTGACTCGGAAGCCAGATTGGCCCTAATGTTAAGTATGGGGCAGACAAACAACCCATGCTAAGGTGCAATTGCCTATGATCTCCCACATAGGTAAAGGTAAAGGGACCCCGGCCATTAGGTCCAGTCGCGGATGACTCTGGGGTTGCAGCACTCATCTCGCTTTACTGGCCGAGGGAGCCGGCGTACAGCTTCTGGGTCATGTGGCCAGCATGACTAAGCCGCTTCTGGTGAACCAGAGCAGCACATGGAAACACCGTTTACCTTCCCGCCAGAGCGGTACCTATTTATCTACTTGCACTTTGACGTACTTTCGAACTGCTAGGTTGGCAGGAGCTGGGACTGATCAATGGGAGCTCACCCCGTTGTGGGGATTTGAACCGCTGAGCTTCTGATCAGCAAGCCCTAGGCTCTGTGGTTTAACCCACAGTGCCACATAGGATGTAATAAAACTTACTGAGCAGCCAGGCCATTGGGGCTGGGACAGAGAACTACGGTATTTAGTCTGGGGCCTGAAGCTCAAAGGCTGCCACCCCCTTATCAAATTTAGACACTTGTTAATTTCTTGGCATTTGATGTGTTTTGCAACTTGTTTTTGTATGCACCCGACCAAAAAGTGACAGGATCTCACAGCTCTGAGCTGCAAAACTAAGCATATCTGAGATGTGGTTTAGCAAAAGGACACAGTCCCCCCCATCTCAATTATTCGTGCTTTTGCCCAGAAAAAGGCTAGAAAACTTTTTGTTAAAGAATTAAAAAATCAAATAATTTTTCACCCTTCCTTCCTTCCATCCTTCCTTCCTTTTGATGCTTTATTCTGCTTTCATGGGCCATCATTTTTTAAATTATTATTATGGTTAGGGGTCTCAAAAGCTTGAAGTGTCCTGGACCTTTGAGAAGGCCTCAGAATAATCAGCAGAGGGGCTGGTTGACCTTTGGTTTTCGTTTTTTGCTGGACTGGGTCTGAGATACAAAGATACACCATACCTAGATATGGTTGGAACCATTGCCTTAACAAACTACAGTTCCAAGGATTCCTTGGGGGAAGCCATGATTGATTCCCGCCCCGCCCCCCAATACGGCACCAAAACCAGCATGGCTTGAATCCAATTGTTTACCGGTGTGGTTTTGTATGGTCCTGTAATACATAGATTTAGCAACTAATGTTGCATTGGCTGCATTGAGTGCTGCTTTGGGTATATTTATCTGGAAAAACAGCATACAAATTGAAATAACAAACAAACGTTAGGCCCCATTGAGTTTAATGGAACCTATTGCTAAGTGATCGTATCTTGGGTAGCATTTGGTCCAGATATGGAATTTGGCTTCTGAAAGCAGCTGATATGGATGGCAGTGCACAGCTGGTTACATCTGGATGTGCAACCACATTTGCATTGGAATTCTCCTCTGGGCCACCTGGCTGAACACCCTTGAAGTAGATTACAAAGGCTACCTGCACATGACTGCTAAAGCCACTCTCTGTTTATGTGAGGTTGGATTTAACATGCTATTAAGGCAAATAAACTGCTTCCCCGCCCTCAATGCCATAAAATAAGGGTGCACTGTTGAATGGTAGGATTTCACCGCTAAAGTGGTTTTATCCCTGTGTGTAAATTAGTTGCAGACACTTCCCTGAGCCATTGCCTGAATTGGTGTGCTTCCACCTCTGGACTTTGGCAGTGTTATCTGTTCTCACAGCTGCTTTCAACGTATCTGCTACTTAATACTCGCACCTAAATAGCACTCCTTCAGATATACTGGACCGAGGCCGTTTAGGGCTTTAAAGGTCAGCACCAATTTGGAACATAGGAAACTGTTTGATATCGAGTCAGACCACTGGTTCATATGGCTCAGTATTGTCTACTCTGACTACCAGTGACACTCCAGAGTTTCAGGCAGAGGTTTTTCCCCACCCTACCTTGAGCTGCCAAGGATTGAACTTGAGACCTTCTGTATGAAAAGCAAATGCTCTACCACTCAACTATGGCCCTTCCCAGCCACTGAGCTATGCTGCTTCCCAATTATTTTGTGGATATCCTGGCGGTTACTGTGCAGGAGCATAAAGAGGAAGAAGATTAGATTGGGGTTCCCCTCTTCTCCCAAAGAGATGTTCACTGTAGATCAGAGATGGAGAGCCAGTAGCCCTGCAGATGTTGTTGGACCACCGTTCCCATCATTCCCATTCCTGGTGAGATTTGGCACCCAATATCTGGAAGACCACGTGTTCCACACCCTTGCCATATATGCTTAGGTCTGCCTCAGCAATGTAGGTTTGTACAAAGCATGATTCAGCCGAATTGCACAAGCAGAAGTTCTGTAAATCCAGGACTGTTCCTGGAAAACAGAGTTTCTGCCGACAGGACTCCCTCACTGAATTCTGCCCAAAATACCTAACCTGGGTCATTAGGCCTCCGAACAGGTTTTATGGCTGAATCCAACTAAATCATACTTAGAGAAGACCCACCGAAATTAATGGACTACCTCTTAACTGTGACTTAAGGTGATGCAATCCTCAATACAGTGGTACCTCAGTTTTCGAATGCCTCCATAGTCAAATTTTTTAGGAACTCGAACGCCAAAAACCCAGAAGAAAATGCCTTGGTTTTCGAATGAGCTTCGGATGTCAAACAGGAAACATGGCTTCCATTTTTAGTTTTCCGTATTGAGGCTTCTGCTTTCAGTTTTCATTTTTCGAACGTTTTGGAACTTGAACGGACTTCCAGAACGGATTGCGTTTGAAAACCGAAGTACCACTGTATCAAAATCACACTCTGTGTGGCTCATCTTCAGAACCATTTTGGATATTAAGCACAAAGTATACTTGCTACTCATCAGATCCAAAGGGTGCAGGCATGTCAAATTTGGTGCCTATTACTAAAACCAGAATCCTGTATATGTCTACTCGGAAGTAAGTCCCATTGAGTTCAACAGGACTTTCTTCCAGTGCTTTCCAGAACATTGTTCCTGAATAATTTAAATGAACGTGCTCAATTTTACATTCACATTACCTTCATAGTGGATGAATCATTTTATAATTATGATTTTATAACTCCCCTCCTTCATTACAATTCCCCCCCCCTTCATCTTTATTCCAGTCTATAGCTGCGTTGGATTTGAAATTGTATTTACATATGAAAGAGTTTTTAATGGGTTTTAAAAATTGTTATATATTTGAAACTGTGTAATTGTTGTTGTTGTTTTTAATTACTGGTGTCTTTGCTGTGAAATTGCTTCAAGGTATTTTATGGGAAGCAATTCGTACCTGGGAATAAATACATATTTTCTGTACACGCTGCCCCAAGTACAAGTAGACTTCTTCACCAGAAACTAATCCAAAATGAAACCGACTGAGGTATCCTCTGTGAGATGATGGCGTTCCACCGTTGCTTGAGTAGCCATTGAAATTATTGCTGTATGCATGCCGTTAGAATAATTAAGAGGTTGTTCTCCAAAGATCTAGGAGATTGTGATGAATTCAATAACAGGCTAAATTTTAAAAGGAGGCAGTGTTTTTACAATTATGTAGGGGAAGGCCTGTCTCATATCAGAAACCAATATGCTTGAAAGCACTCCCAGAAACAACTTCTATTCAGTAACTTGGAATTGGATATGAAAGAAGTCCTGTCCTCCCCCAGCCCCACCTGCTGGACATCTGCCCTGACCACATTTTCACTGCGGGCGAAAATTCTAAAAGGAAAAGTAGCTATAAAGACTTGATACAGACAATTGGGTTTGATTGCATGATTTATTTATTTATTTGCAGTTTGAATCAGCGAGCTGTCCTGAGATGACCTTTGCAGTCCTTTTTGTCTGACATTGTCCATCCTGTTCTTTTTTTTTTTTTTGGTACCCTTCTGTCTGCAGTACTGCTACCAGTTATGGGCAGTTGAGCCCATTGAATGCATGGGGTTTAGGGACCTATGAATATTTATGAGTTTGTTTGTTTATTTATTTATTCAAGGTTCTAGGCAATATCTGGGATATTGCATTCCACCCATGGCCACTACCATGATTCTCTGGTTTTCTCTAATCAGCCAATCATTCCACAGCTACTCGGGTCCCAAACTTGGGTCACCAGCTGTTTTTGGACTACAGTTCCCACCATCCCTGACCACTGGTCTTTCTAGCTAGGGATGATGGGAGTTATAGTCCCAAAACAGCTGGTGACCCAAGTTTGGGAAACATACAAGGATTTCTTGTACTTCTGTAAACCTCTTGTTCACGAATGGCTCCATTTTGTCCACATAAGTAACTACACTCAGAGAATAAGTTTTCTTTTAGCATGTTAAACAGTAGTTCACATCCTAATAGAATTTTTTTTAAAACCCTCTTTAAAATGACTGCTCATGTCTCCAGTCACTAAAATCACTGGGTGTCACTATGACCTTCAGCTATGACCTTAGTCATTTGCCTCCTCTTGCTTGAAATTGTAAAATAATGCAGAAAAAAATGTAAATAATGCAGAAAATACTAGAATCAGTAAGATATGGAGCAGCAAATACAACAATTGCCCCTGCCTCCGTATGTGCATTACCATTTACCTTTTATTCTAAAACACCAGACGAATTCTCTACAGCTGACTGGTGTGGCTGAATTCTGGCCTCTTTATTCCCTCCCCCCCCCCCAAAGCCTTGAAAAGAAGTCGGTTCTCGGAAGAGAAAGAAGCCTTTTATTCTCCACTATCCTCTCGGATCTATTAAATGCACCGCTATCAGACACATTCCTTTGCCTTCCATGGGGAATGAAAGTCTCAAGGCCGCAACTTCTGTTGTTCTTGTAAAAAGGAGAACTGAAACGTGTGCGAACTGAGATACATTCAGGCAGCAAAAGAGAAAAAAAAGTTTCAAAATATATGGTTTTCGGAGCCTGGTGCCAATTATGTGCTTGCTGAGTTATCGCTTTGGGTTTCCTAGGCATGGCTGTATGGAAAACATCACCCACTACTAAAGCCCATTGGCTATGGAGTTGGGCACATCCTTAAACATCTTGCCTTGCTTCCCACAAAGAACCAATGTTATTATTATGGTTGCCATCCCGGCCAATGTAAGTCTGAGAAACTGCACTGGGAACATTTGTTGTTTAGTCGTTTAGCCGTGTCCGACTCTTCGTGACCCCATGGACCAGAGCACGCCAGGCACTCCTGTCTTCCACTGCCTCCCGCAGTTTGGTCAAACTCATGCTGGTAGCTTCGAGAACACTGTCCAACCATCTCGTCCTCTGTTGTCCCCTTCTCCTTGCGCCCTCCATCTTTCCCAACACCAGGGTCTTTTCCACGGAGTCTTCTCTTCTCATGAGGTGGCCAAAGTATTGGCGCCTCAGCTTCAGGATCTGTCCTTCCAGTGAGCACTCAGGGCTGATTTCCTTAAGAATGGATAGGTTTGATCTTCTTGCAGTCCATGGGACTCTCAAGAGTCTCCTCTAGCACCATAATTCAAAAGCATAGATTCTTTGGCGATCAGCCTTCTTTATGTTCCAGCTCTCACTTCCATACATCACCATGGGGAAAACCATAGCTTTAACTATACAGACCTACAGGGAGCTGCTTTCTACTGAATCAGACCCTTGGTCCATCTAGCTCAATACTGACTAGACTGACAGGCAGTAGGACTACAGGGGTTCAGCAGGGATCATTTCCAGCCAAGGTTCTCTTCTATTCCACCATGTGAACCCTACCAGTAAGGAGGTCTAAGCTAGATGCTCCAAGCTTGGACCGTGTGGCTTTAGCAAGCCATTTTTGTGTTTCTAGACAAATAACGTTTACCATTTTGGAACCTAATTTATTGCTGCTGTATGGAAAAGCACATGAATCTGGTTCACTTACAAAGCGTGTGGTCTCTTTCTTTGCTGAGGGGAGTGGAGAACTTTGGAAGCAACTTAGAAGGGGATATTTTAAAGGTCCAACAGCCTATATTTCCACATTTTACTTTAATGCATGTTCTGTGATTTTCTCACCAAAGAGTACTTGCCCTAAACCTGGATCTAGGCATCGAGGGAACTCTCCCTTTTATTTATTTTCCCTTTTAACCAAAATACAAAAACTAAAGCCGACAGCCTGCGGTCAAGGGAAGGGTGAAGCACTCCCACTTGCCATGAATTCACTGAAAATCATGCCCTTATCAAAGAGGAACTTGTGGCTGTGCATGGAATATGTGTCATGGAGGCAAACCATGTCATTCTGCCCTCTTAGGCATGCGGTGCTTCTGCAGAAAGTTCAGCCACGCCAAAAATCCAGGTCACGCGGTCCTAGAATATCTGCTGCATTTTGAGTGACACTCTAAAATATAGGAAATGGGTGTCTGGAAAAAAAACAACCACTGGAATTTCAGAAAGAACTGAGGCTAGAATGCAGCCAACTGCGCTGAACTGCACTCCCACATGTGCATCAGAGTCATAGCTACAAACAATAGGCTGATTCAAGACAATGAATGCACAAGACAAAGAAGTCACCATTCTCCCTTCTCTATCTGCAATGCTAATTCCCCCCTGCCCCCCCAACTGAATGGCAGCTAAACAGATCCTGTTCTGGGGGGGGGGGGACGACCCATTTTCTTACATCTTAGATAATATCTAGTAAACTGAGATGGCCTTTTGGTTTTATCTTAATTCCCCATAACCTTTTCCCTTCTTCCATCTTTAATAAAGACATTCTGTGTTGCTTGCTATAAAGAAAATATGCCGTAAATTCTGTTCCGCGAAGATCACTGTTTTCATGGAGTTATTATGCATTTTGGGGAAAGCAGAGTGACAGCTCATAAACAACAGCAGAATATAACGATGAGTGTTAATCATACCATTTAACATGCTGTTGAATGCGCTGTTAATTGACTAGGAATTAATGTCCCACTAGATCATAATTTGTGTTTATTTTTAAGTGAAAAATGCCTGGTAAAGAAATAATTGTGTACGGAATGTGATAACAAGAACCTGTGAGTGTTTAACTTGGTAGTATTCCCAAGTAAGCGGATATTATGGCTGCCTAACTGTGCAATCCTATACAT